GTGCGGGCACCCACATCATCAAGGAGGGAGGAAGGAGGAAGGATATGGAGGAGGAGGAGGAGGAGGAGGCGGAGGAGAAAGAGGGCGGGGGAGTGGACGGTGAGTGAGTGGGGGAGCGGGGGAGGGGATTTGATTTGATTTGACACCGACACATTGCAAGCATATTGCTTGCCAAGGCAAGTCGCAATTGGGGATGCGCGGCGGGGAGGGGCCACCTGGCCATCCCTACCCGCCAACGCCCAATTGCGAGTTGCTGCGAGTTGCTCTCCCCGCCGCTGCGAGCCGAGGTGTGGCAGAAACAAAAGCTGCACGTCACCGAGCTCTCGACCACCTTCATCCCGGGCCCCATATTGGCCAGCAGCACGTATGCCGAGATCATGGGCCCCGCCAGCTCCAGGACGATCCTCGGTGACTTGCAGGTGGTTCGGAGCGGCAGTGCGACTGGCTACAAGATGCTGTCCATGCAGCGGAAGCAGTTGGCATCCATCGGACTCGACACCACAGCGGGGTCTCTGCTGCCAGAGGTGTCGTGGGCCCCGCCAGACGCTTCGCAGGGTCAGCTGGAAGACGGCGCGCCGCTCGCTGCGATCCAGGAGCGGGAGCATGAGCAACGCCTGAGGGGGATGAGGAGGATGAAGGATGAACAGATAGCACAGATGAGCCCCGCCCCCCTCCTTTCTCTGGCCACCCCCGGCGGTCGAATAGCGGGTGGTCGGAGGAGGGGGGAGAGGGGGGCTAAGGCGCCTATCTATTCATCCCTCACCTCACTTCTCCTTGTCCAAGTGTCCAAATCGCGCGACTCTCCTCGAGGACGAGGATGAGGCGGCGGCGCCTGCAGCTGCGGCGGCAGCAGTGGCAGCGGTGCCCCCTGGCGGCCCTGGCGCTGCTGGCGGCGCGGGCGCTTGCGCGGCGGCGGGCAGCTCCGCCGCCATCGTCGCCGCCGGGAACCCCGCGGCTGAGGGGGCCACGCCAGGCGACGCCGCTGAGGCCGCTCGCAGGAGAGTCTTGCAGATCTGGACGCTGACGACCGACGCAGGGCCGGATGAGGTGAAAGCCCGCGCGCTGTTCATAGGCATGGCGATGGCCCGCCAGCCGAGCACGCTCTTCTTGGACGCCAACTGCGTGGCGCATCAGTTCCAGCTGTGTGTCAAGGACCATCTGAAGTTCATGGACCAGTTCCTGAAAGATATGGGCGCCGAGTTCTTCTTCTGGTCTAGCGTTGCCAAAGTGATGCACTGCTGGAGAAACGACGCAGTCAAGTTGTTCAAGATTTGGGCCGAGCTGTATGGCCCCGCGGCGGCAGTGTCAGCTGGAGGCCTTTCAGTGCCGCCCCGTCCGCTCACTGGCAGGTGGGGGTCCATCAGAGATTGCGAGCGGTTTCTGCTCCGTGCGCCAGTCGACCAGATCAGACGGGTCTTCACGGCAGCCTTCGTACGTTCTTCTGCCTCTTCTGCGGGCGTCGCGCGGGCAGTTCCAGATGCTGACCGGAGCAGCGGGATCACGGAGATCAGCGGCGAGGAGTCCAAGCTCTATTCAGAGAAGATGTCCCGCTGGGCCAAGGATGCCCTCACGGCGCTGCACGACGACAGGTTCTGGATTGCAGTCCGAGTCTCCACTTGTATCCGGGGCCCGCTTGATCACCTTTTGCATTTTCTTCAGAAGGGCCGATCGGTTGGGAGCGAGGTGCAGAATCTCGGTTTGCTCGTGCATGGCGAAGCTGCCAGGATTGGACGCGGATTTGACGACATGTTGTCTTCGGACTTCCCCGACGTGATGACCGGGGTGCCGCCGGAGAGTCGTGCCGCGGTCAGTCGGTGCATGCGGCGCGGTGTATTAGCTGCAGCAAGTAATTACGATTTTCGCATCGTCCGCCCCTGCTCAGAATACCCGCTGAAGCTCCTCCTCCTCTGCAAGTCGCCCGCCGACAAGTGCTGCCGCGAGAGGGCCGAGGTGGCCCGGGAGTTGCTGGACGGCAACCCTGATGAGCTGCACGTCGCCGCTGCCGCGGTGAAGCGCTTATTCCCGGCGGAGCTCCAGGCAGTGGTGGGCAAGTAATCGCACGCCCCCGCCTGACTTTAGTTTAATGGATGGATGGAGGGATGGATGGACGGATGGATGGATGGATGGATGAGGCCACTGGAGGTGGAGGCCGCCTGGAAGTCCTGGCGCAGATGTACCGGGGCCCAGGAACGCGGGGCGGTGCCCCAGGTGCCCCAGGCGGAATGGCCTCCGGAAAAATGGAAAGGGTGGGGGAGGGGGGGAGGAGGAGAAGAGGCGAGGAGGAGAGGAGCTGAGGAGGGGTGTCCCTGGGCCCAGGAGGGCAGGAGCGGGGGGGGGGCGGAGCGGCGCCCGCCCCGCCCCGTAGCGCAGGCCGCCGCCGACCCGGACAACGGCGCGCTGTCGATGTGCCTCTGGGGCCCGCTCCGCGCCGTGGCGGAGAGGTGGCGCGGGGACACGCAGGAGATCGAGGGCATCAACAACATCATACAGGAGGGGAGGGGCGGGCTGGGTTGTGGCCGGGTCGCTGGTGTTCGCTCGCAGTGCGTTTTGGCGATGGTGTAATTGTGTACACTTGACTCACAGATACAGGATCTCAAGGTCTCAAGGTCTCAAGGGTCCCTTGAGACCTTGAGATCCTGTATCTTTCTCCCCGGGCCCATCGGGCCTCGGTGCCGCAGTCTGAGCGGCGAGCGGCGAGTCGACGGCTCGACCCGGCTCGACGACTCGACGGCCTCTGCACCTGCGGCCCAACCCCCGGACTTGTTCGGCCGCAGTTGATCCCCGTCGGGGCCCTGGCCTTTCGACTCCCTGTAGCCCGTGGCCCCTGGCTCGGAACACGGGCGGAGGGGAGGTGGCGTGCGCCCGGGCCCCGCGCATCACGCTGGCGCTCCTGGACGCCAGAGTGGCGCTGCGCAAGGAGTTCGGGCTGGGGACGAAGGCCAACGGCCGCATGAAGTGGTCGCAGGTGGCGCCGCTGCTAGAGAGCATCGTGGACGACTCTATCCACTTCGCGAAGGAGATCCGGCACGTGCTCGGCAGTCAGCTGCGCTGGCAGGCGCTCGGGCAAAGCCGGAGCAACGGAGCAGGAGGTGAAGGAGGAGGAGAAGTGAAGGATGAGGAGGAGACGGAGGAGGAGGAGCAGATAGAGACTCGAGAGGAGAGAGAAAGAGAGAGAGAGAGAGAGAGTAGAAAGAGAGAGAGAGAGAGAGAGAGAGAGCGAGAGAGAGAGAGAGAGAGAGAGAGAGAGAGATACTTAGCGCCGAAGGCAAAAAGGCCCCAGATGGCCCGTCGGCGGATTTGAATCACGTCCGCCGTCCGCCATCTTTCGCATCTTTCGCCCCCCCCCTGCGACCCTGCGACGCCGCGAGGGCCGAGAGAAAGATGGTTTCAAAACATCACGTTTTGTTTCCCAGCGCTCGCAGGGGGGGGGAGGGCGAAATTGCAGACTTGATTCAAATCCATCTTGGCCCCTTAGCCTATCCCTCGCTCCGGCCCCAGCTCCAGGGACTCCAGGGGCCAGCTCCATCCCAGCTTTCCGGCCGCTCAGGCTCAGTGCCTCCGCAGTCTTACTCTCTCTCTCTCTCTCTCTCTCTCTCTCCCTCTCTCTCGCTCTCTCTCCCTCTCCCTCTCTCTCTCTCTCTTTCTCTCCCTCTCTCTCCCTTTCTCTCCCTCTCTCTCCCTCCCTTCTTCGCCCGTCGTCTTGCCGTCTTGTCCGGCGGTCTGGAATGGCGGGCGGGAGGGGGGAGGGTTGCGCCGGCGGCCCCCGACTGCCTCGCCAGGCGCCGCCCGAGCAGCTGGACGACATCGTCGCGGCGCCCAGGCGCCCAGCAGGGGCCGTCGAGACGAGGGAGATGAAGAGTTGGATCACCTCGTACAATCAATTGTGGTACTGGACTGCGTCGTCATCTCGAACGGCCAGTCCGAGCTCCGGAACGGCAGGGTCTGTTCTTCTCTTCGCTGGTGAAGAGGACACGGGGGATGACCTGGTGGCCTGGCTGTGCGTGTTCCAGTACGGGTACGTGGGCTGCTTCGTGAGAGTCAAGGTGACCCCGCCCGATGATGGAGGGCCCGGTGAGTTGGAGCTGCTTGTGCCGGTGCAGCATTGTACTTCTCGCAACTTGTTCAAGAGGTATTTCCATGATGCTCGCTCAGTCGATGGTTGGAATCGCCTGGTGTGTCTTGGGTTTGTTGACATGTCCGAGATCGAATGCGCCGGAGTTCATGGTGATCACGCCCAGAGGCGCATGGTCGCAAGCCTGCCGTTGACTGGAGAGCGCGGGATGCTCGACCTCTGCGTCATGACGTGCAAGAACGCCCCACCTGCAGAAGGGAAGAAGAGGCCGCGCCAGCAGAGACCAGCTGTGGCCATCGAGGACGGGGCCGCCGACGACGGCGACGATGACGATGACCTCTTTGCGCTCGATGCCGACATGACCCTCGTCGGCGAGGCCGACGCCGCTGACGGCCCTGTGGTTGACGACGATGCTGGCGCACTAGACGCAGCTGGGACTCACGGTGATATGTCAAAGTCTGCCACTGCCCTTGGCGACAAGGATTTCATGGACAGGTTCAGCGCCATCTACGCTCGAATGTTCCCAGATCCTGCTGGTGGCGACCCTGCCTCAGATGGCCCTGCGGCGGACGCCCACGTCGCCGGCGGGGTCGGGGCTGCCAAGGAGTTGCTCGACGCAGCGGTCGAGGTCGAGGACGCCACGGGGGTCGCGATCACCGACGTTGCCGACGGGCCCGTGCCGGGGACGCCGCAAGTGGACCCTGACATTGAGGACTGTCTCACCACCGATCCACCTCTCCTTGTCTCCGCCCCCTCCGAGCTCATTTCTCTGTCTCCTCTCTCATGCGACTCTCTCTTCTCATCCTCCTCTCCTCCACCGCTTGACATCGTCTCGCCTCGACTCGGCACCGTCGATCGAGCGACGAGTCGTCGAGTGGCATCGTCGAATCGTCATCTTCTGCGTCGTCGTCGTCGTCGTGAGTCGTCG